TGTTCCACTGATTGACACCACTGTTCGCTCCCCTCTAGCACACTAACAGGTGGCCGGTGTAGCTATTATAGTAAAAGTAAAAGTACGGGTACCGGTAAAACTGTCCTTTTATTACAACAGTGGTAAAGTAAGCATATAATAATTCCTTGGAGGGCGGAAGTGGATGAACCAGGTTAAAGAGTAACCGTCCATCAGGGACACACTAGTAAAGCAAACACACCCGCAACGACACGCAATCATTTCCTTGGTCAACGCTACACCTGGCATTCTATTGGTTGGGGAATTTTGACATAGTTATTGCACAAATAAATCCAAGAAAAGAGAAGAATTGCAGGAGAAGTGCCGATGTTTCGCAAGCATGCAGAAACAGATTGGTTGTTAGGAGAAGGGCTGTTAACATAGAATTTGAGCAGAAGTGGAGCAAATCCAGCCTGAAGCAAGGACTATTTGAGTGCTAGGACAGGGTTTTGAGAGAAAGCATTACATTAGTCATGCTCTTAAATAAAAAAAACACCTTCTTGAATAAAGATGGACAAAAGGCTCCTGATATGGTGAGGGCAGAAAAGAGAAATGGCAGTCTGTGAGATGTGCCACTGCGCATTAAAATGTCACGGTACACCAAAGAGGGAAATGTAGAAGTGCCAGTTCTGCGTACCGGTACAAGCAACAAATAAGCCAACAGGTCTGTCGACGAAATGGCCCTTCACTTTATCCTCCAGCATCTGGACTCCTAAGGACCCTACGCCAGGATCCTGTTTGTGGACTTCAGCTCTGCCTTCAACACCATCATCCCGTCTTTGCTGCACGAAAAGCTCTCTCAGCTGCACGTGCCCGACTCCACCTGCAAGTGGATCATAGACTTCCTGTCTGACAGGAAACAGCACGTGAAGCTGAAGAAACATGTTTCATTCTCTCGGACCATCAGCACCGGTTCCCCCCAAGGCTGCGTTCTTTCCCCTCTTCTCTTCTCCCTGTACACCAACAGCTGCACCTCCAGTCACCAGTCCGTCAAGCTCCTGAAATGATGACACCACCCTCATTGGACTCAGCTCTGGTGGGGATGAGTCCGCCTACAGGTGGGAGACTGACCATCTGGTGACCTGGTGCGGTCTGAACAACTTAGAGTTCAATGCTCTAAAGACAGTGGAAATGGTTGTGGATTTCCGCAAGAACGCATCCCCACCTGCCCCTATCACCCTGTGTGACTCCCCGTCAACGCTGTGGAGTCCTTCCGCTTCCTGGGCTCCACCATAACCCAGGACCTCGAATGGGAGCTTAACGTCAGCTCCATCACCAGGAAGGTTTAGCAGAGGATGTACTTCCTCAGGCAGCTGAAGAAGTTCAACCTGCCAAAGACAATGATGGTGCACTTCTACACAGCCATCATTGAGTTAATTCTCTGCTCCTCCATCACCGTCTGGTGCGCTGCGGCCACAGCCGAGGACAAGGGCAGACTGCAACATATCATTAGCTCTGCTGAAAGAGTGATTGGCTGTAATCTGCCGTCCCTCCATGACTTGTTCGCTTCCAGGACCCTGAAGCGGGCAAGAAAGATTATAGCCGACCCCTCTCACCCTGGACATAAACAGTTTGAGTCCCTTCCCACTGGCAGGATGCTGCGGTAAGACCAAGACCTCACGCCACAAGTTTCTTCCCTTCTCCAGTTGGGTTCATCAACAAAGCCCACTGACTCTGACTCTTACATCCCCAGGACAATTCCTTACTGTTACACACCCTTTCTATATTAAAATACACATGCCATTTTCATAATATACTTGTTTTAACGTACCGTTATCTGTTTGTTTTTTTGTTTATTATATTTTATTGTAAAAAAATTTTTTTTTTCTATTTTTAAATTATGTCTCGATTATTACACTTTGTTTATTGTTATACACCAGTCACCTAGTCGAATTCCTTTTATGTGTAACGTACTTGGCAATAAACGGTTCTGATTCTGATTCTGATAAAATTGATGAACCTTTTACTTTGGCAGAGATGGTGAGAGCAATAAATGGATCAAGACCCACATCACCAGGGGATGATCAGGTATGCTACATTAAGATAAGGCATTTGGGAAAAAGAGCATACTGGAAGCTGCTACGTGTTAATAACAGAGTGTGGGAGGAGGGAAGGTTACCAAGCACATGGAAAGAGGCAGTAGTGATTCGGATTAGAAAACCTGGCAAAGATCCATCTAAACCGACCAGCTACAGACCAATAGCACTAACATCCAATATTTGTAAGATAATGGAAAGGATGATAACAGAAAGATTTTCATATGAGCTTGAGAAGAGAGGACTTATGGCAAGTTTTCAGAGTTGGTTTTAGGAAGGGATGGAACACCATGGACTCAGTGATAAGGCCAGAGACTGAAATAAGAAAGGCCCAGGCAAATAAAGAGTCAGTCATTGCAATGTTTTTGACATAGAAAAAGCCTATGACATGAGGTGGAAGGAAGGTTTGCTAATTAAGCTGCACAAAATGGGAATTGGTGGGAGAGTTTACAACTGGGTAAATTATTTTTTGTTTGGAAGAAATCTTCAAGTACGGATTGGGTCAGACATGTCAAATCAATACATAGATTACATAGATAGATAAACGACATATTCACAAAGGTACCAGTGGATATAGGTAGGTCTCTGTTTGCTGATGATAAGGCATTGTGGGAAAAAGGAAGGAACATGGAACATGCAGTCAGAAAAGTAAAAGAAGCAATTTATGAGGTGGTGGAGTGGGGTATGATTGGGGGTTTAGGTTCTCAGTTGAAAAAACACAAACGGCCTTTTTCACCAGGAAAATAATCAAGATGAAGCTAAGGATGTATGGGAGAGACCTAAAGATGTATGGGAGAGACCTAAGGATGTATGGGAGAGACTTAGAAAGGGTTGTAACATTTACATTTCTGGCAGTTATTTTTTATTCACGTTAACATGGACAGACCATATCAGGAAAATATAGGAAAAATGAAAAAAAGTAATAAATGTGATGAGATGTGTGACTGATAGGCAATGGAGAGCCAGTTCATCATTAAAAAACATGTATGTGGCCTTGATAAGATCTGTGTTGGATTACGACAGCACAGCATATGGATCAGCAGCCAAATCTCTAATTGAGAAATTGGATGTGGTTCAGGCACAGGCATTAAGAGTATGTAGTGGAGCATTAAAACATCTGCCCTGCAGGTAGAAATGGGAGGAATACTGCTGGATTTAAGGAGAAAGCAACTGATGGCAAACTACTGGGCTAATTTACAGGGACACAATGAGTCTCACCCTGCAAAAGGTATGTTGCAGGTGGTCTGGGAGAATGGAAGGAGTCAGAGGGATACTTTTGGTTATGGCAATGCCATAGAAAGAGAATTTGATCTGCCCCTCAGTAGTTTACCCGGTGATGGCTCCATGGACGCTTGTGTGGCCTGATATAGATTGGTATTTGTTCGAGGTCAAAAGGAAAGAAGAAGATGAAGGTAATTTGGTAAGTGTATTTCAGTAATGAAAGAGTACAGTGATTATACACAGATTTACAAGGATGGTGCTAAGAAACCTGAGACAGGAGAGACAGGATATAGGGCGGCAATACCAGCAGAAGCAATAGGAATCAACAGAAGAACATACGATAATCTAGGGGTTTACACAGTGGAGATGCTGCCAGTGCTGGTTGTACTACAATGGGTGGAAAAAGCTAGACAGGAAACAGAAGAAAGGAAACATAGATATGCAAATTAAATCTTTGCAGAAGGTGTCGGTAGTGCACCAATAAGCTGGATGCCAACCGCCGTAAAACCAGAAGAAGAAGAAGAAGAAGAAGAAGCGAAGCTTGGTGATTGGGGCGGACACAATCAGCATTCCAACCATAAGCCTGCAAAATAATAGTCAGTGTGCTGTGCACAAGGCTTTACAGCCATAGCCACACATAAGAAAACAGGTATTGCCAATACACATATTGTGTTTTTTTTATTCATTTTCTTGAACTGAAAAATATTTATACAACCCTTAAATCAATTTGTAGAGAATTCTACAACTTTGGTGCTAAACGCTGAATACACATCTGCTTTAAAATAATCTGTTCATACTGGTTACACTTCCTTCTATAGTCTGTGTCCTCTGGACTAAAAACTAAATATTTGATTTTCACTAGTCCTGACATAACAAGTCTGTTGGAGTGTTCTCTTTTCTGTAATAGAAACAATGCTTTATGTTGCTCATGCACGTGTGGCCCCACTTCCCCTCCTTTGCTCAAATATGCTAAATATACAGTGCAGAATTCTCATTGCCTAATAATCTGGCATACTGTGTACTTTGCTGTGTAAAAAAAAAAAAATTCTTTGACACCTGTTCTAATATGATACATGAGATTTCCATGTCAGTTTGTCATCCATTATCACACCCAGAAATATTCCATTCATGGACAGCGACATTTTTTCATCCTAAAATTTGAGGATGCCCAAATTAAAGGATAACTTGTTTTTCATCAGTTTAGAATTGTCCCTGTGCCTTTGATATGATCACTTTCTTGTAACATGAATGACCTCTACGTAAACCCCTTTCCACTCTTCTTTTAAGTCGTCATTCCTGAACTTGTTTTTATTGCTTCATCAGTTCTTACCCTGAGATAACTATTGCACCTTTCCTCATTCGTTCTCTTTACTTCACAATCATATATCGTGAATACAGCTAAATGGACGCTTATGTTATGTACTACTAGCCCCCTTTTAAGTGTTCTCCATGCCATCTATACAAATAGTGTAAATTAATGTTGCAGCTTAATTGAATGATTCGTTTTCCACAATACTAATGTGTACTGACATTCATGAAATATATGCATAGCTGTTTCTTCTTCTTTTAAAAAAAATAAAATTGAGTTATGTTTTATTTTGCCAAGTGTATTGTTTGTAAAATGTGACGCATGCCTTAGCCCCGCCCTTGCTATTGGCTGATTGGGTTGACGAAAACGTTTTTGTACTCCGATTGGCTTTCCAATACACAACCCAGTTCCGCAAAACCAGACTGTTTGTGTTTTGACGTTGTAAAGAGCTCCTCGGACCACCACACAAGTCCATAAGCAAGAACACAGTCAACGTTCTACACCTCGGTTCGTAACTATACCCGCTTGAAAATAATGTCCGACTGAAACATGACAAATGCATCTCTTGCTTCGAGGCTTCAAATCGTGAGATTTATCAGCTCACGATTATGCTAATGCTAGCTAAGTTAGCTGCGGGGTCCCTCTCTACCAATATAACTTAAACGTTAGCCAATGGTTGTACTGTGTGGACCTGGCAGCTGTTCCAAGTGTTGCCCACTCGTTGCTTGTGTTGCAAGCTCACAGAATAGATGTTGAAGATAACCGAGGCTAAGATGGGCACGCTTCTCGTTGAGGTTTGCCATGTAAACACTGCTCACTGCATGTAGCCTATTCTACCCTGTTGTTGACAGAGTTGCATAAGCGTTGACCAGTGTGATAGTAACGTGTTCGGAGACAATACATACACCGTTACTGACCTCGTTATCCCCGATGTGCGTAATGCTAGTTGTTTGAAGAATGCGCCACTGAAACAGACGAGAGTGGCTTTCCCAAGTGTCCTTAGTGCTTTCAGACCTGAAGCTGATGTCATTAGAGCAGCAACATTGGTTGGTTTTGGCAGGTCAATTGAATTTGAGGTAGGTGTATGTAAATGTGTGACATAAGTGTCTGTTTGATTAATCCAGATGTTTTCACTTTGAGTCCAGTCTGATTGACTGGAGGTATGGTAATCAGTCACATTAGTCACCACGGTATTCTGATGGCTGCATGTCCCTGACTCCAGGTTTTGATTTGGTTGATAATTCCATAACCTGCATTCATCCATGATGCACTCATCTGTGTCGAGTTCAAGGTGGCTGCAGACTTTCCCCTAGTCACATTGATTAATGGAAACATTCTTGGCAAAATGCTTTCGCTTTCGTCCGTCTTGCACCGGTCCCTTAGGTGCTCTCTGGACAGCTGTGAACTATAATTCCATCAGCATGTTCGGGGTCAGTTAAAAGCTCTCCTCCTAACCATTGACCTGCCTGGAATACTGCACCAGTCATGACTCAGAGGCATCTTAACCAAATGTTGGAACACCTAAATTGTCTCCTTATAATGCTAAGAAGCAACAATTTTACTTGGAGCTCCCCTTGATGTCGGAGCTCCGGGACCTCAGACACTCTTTGCTGGAGGATACTTTCTGTCTGCAGTCCGTACTCTGAACATCATGGTGCACAACATCTGCACGGCTGCGGTCGCTGCACCGACAGTGCTGCTCTCCCTTCACTTAAATACACCAGAGTACTAATGAGTTGTGAGACTCTGTTGCTGCTGTTTGGTGGAATATTTCAACATCGTTTTGAAATCACTCCTCAGAATGAGGTTTTGAGGGGAGTTTGTTACTTTTCATAAACGCTTGTCTTGTTGATGTTGTGTCTGCCTGATTGACAGTGACTGGAGGACATACTTTACACTCAGTGACAGCACTACCTAAAACAAATACACCAACATAATACACCTGTAAATCCTACCGTTACAGAGTGTTCAGTCTTTTGTTGAAAGTGTTTCAAAGAGGTGTTTACTCATCTGTATTTTTGAGGCTGTAGTTTGTGTTATACGTGGAGGTGTTTCTACTACTTAGTCAACCCTCACTGATATAAGTGGTGTGGACAAAATATTAGAAACACCAAACTACTGAATGCATTCCACATCCTTGTAATGACCACAGCGTTATGTGCAGTGAGAGTCTTTATTTTGTCCCCCGAAACAAAGTGCACTGGTTGAGTGTGGGGACATGTTAACCAACAAATTGCAAGTGAAATGAGTATTAGGAGTATTGAGAAGGGCTGTTGTTGTATTGGATTAGATAATACTGAGACATCTTTCAATATTCTGTTCCAGTATTCTGTGTGCCACTACAAACTACAGTATTTATTGCAAGGTTCTTCTCCTGAATTGTATTACTTTGTACATTTGACCGGGTCGGATGGACCACATCTGGTCTTGAGAAAGGTTTCATGAGAAGGAAAGCTGCTGGAAGTTGAAAGGTCACCTACATCTCTGCCTCCTTATACGTTTTTAAGAAGCCACTAATGCTCAGTTTGTTCTTGATGGAAAGCACCATCACTTGACTATAATGCACAGGCCCAGAGGCCACAACATTTAGCTTCTACTCACTGTCCTCTGGAGCTAAGCTCTTTGTATTCTCAAGTACCTTCACTCATGTAGGGCATTTTCTAGACAAATAATGCTCAAACATATGGCATTTCTTGCCAATGTTTGCATGCTGCAGAGAAACAACAATATGTTCACTTGTACAACTTAGTGCAAAGGGATTCTTTTTATTTATTTGTATGCGGCTGTCATGTTAACATGTCTCTTTGTACATTTTCAGGATAAAAAAAAGACGGGAGACAAAATGGCATCGGACTCTCCACGCAGACCTAGTCGCTGTGCTGGAGGGGTTCTGGTGCGAGCACAAGCTGCTACGTAAGGACGCACATCAGCCATCTGTTATTGTCTTATTAGAAATGATGCTGTTTGTATGTGTATACATATGACATGAGCTTTTTGCTGTTCCAGGGAGCAGTCGTACATGGAGAGTGTGGTGACCTTCCTGCAGGATGTGGTCCCCCAGGTAACTCTCCTCCCTCATGTTTCCTCTCATACTAGCAGCTCTTCCACGTTGGATCCCAAATTACTGTCTGATTTGAATCAGTGTGCTTTTATGTTCACACTAGAGAAGTGACAAAATACAAATCTACATCAGCATTCGGACTTACTGACTACATGTACAAAGTCAGTATGCATACTGAAAACCACTGGACTTCTGCAGTGTGCTGCTGTCCTACAATGCAATGGCCCAAAGGAAGAGGTGGAGCTAATTACATTACCAGATACAAATACATTCCAGGTTCTCAGAAAACAAACCAACAATTCAATATTTCTGACAACTGTTTTGCTTTCATATTCTGAAGTTGAATTGGCATTCCAAAGTTCATCACTAATCAGTATATCGTATCTGCTTGATAATATCAGTATGTAGTATGGAACTGGGACACAGCAATAGTCTCAAGGTTAAATAGCTGCATCAAAAGTATGACAAAGGTGCCTCACGTTGCTCTTGTGTAAAAATGACAGAATAAATATTAGAAAAATTAATATTGTGAAGGATTATTCGTCTCAAGCTAGTTTCACATCTCAATGTGTGAAATTCCAAATCATACTGGGAAAAATGGAAAACGAAGGTGTCGTGAAAATGCGTAAATTGCTCTAAAAAACGTATGCTATGCTTTGGAGAATTATGCAAAGAAAACTAAATATCAGTAAAGGACTTAAAGCACATAAAACAATTTAAACAGTATGGTCTGTTAAGTTTAGAACACAATGTGGAGAAAGGAATGGAGTGCTGTACCGTACCTGCATGATCAACAGGAGCTTTGATTACAAACCAATATGGAAACATCTGCGTTCCTAAGTACACCATGGCGGTCTGCAGGTTGTCTACCAGCTGTTCTTCAATGCCAAGTCTCCTGCTGACATACTTGTGGCTGGTAAACTAAACATGGTTAGGTATGTTGGACAGTGTTATATGTTTATATTTCACCCTCTGCTCCGTCTTTACAGGCATACACTGGTGCTCTGCCCACTGATGAGAAAGAGAAAATCATTTGGGTTCGATTTGAGAAAGCTGACGTCAACGGTAAGTGTGTAACTGTCAAACTTAAGTTTGGTTTGTGTGACTGACTGCATTGGGCTCTTCATTCTGTTGAACCAGTATATAAATGTAATATACTCTATAAGAGAAATGTGAAAACTAGCCATGTTTCATCAGTTGAAACCACACAGTGGACTTCATCAGAGAAGACCAGACTCTCAGGAAATGATCATTTGAATGTCAATATACATCTCATGCTTCCACCTCATGTTTGCATTCATGGCGCCTGGTTGGTCGTGATGTTTCAAACTCCATGATGGCAAGCGTGGCGCGACATGCTCGGCCATTGTTAAGCTCTCTGCAGGCTTCCACATTCACTACTACCTTTGGATATTAATATAAAGGAATGATGCAGAAAAAAAGTTGATGGAATTGAATGAATGAAATTATAGTCGTTATGTAAATTAGATTCTGTAAGGTCATGAGAAGTCAATATGGTAGGCTAGGGGGGCAAATACAAAAAAAAAATCAAAGGTTCCCAGAAAAAGGTCAAGTTTTATTCTTCTGTTACTGGCAGCTCAGGTACTTCTCCTTATCAAAGTCAAAAAGTCCAAAACAAAAGCGTCCAAGAGGAGATGATGCTTTGTTCAACTGAACAGTATTAACAAAACTCAACTTCGTGTGTCCTCGGTGCCACCGGGTCTTCTCCCTTTCAACCCTCCTCAGTCTGGCTCCGTACTTTTCTTTACGCCGTTCTCCAGTCCAGGTTAGTTCTTGGCTCTCCTTCCAGCCGTGTGTTCCCCTCCCTCTCCTCTCCTCCTGCAGCTCTTCTCTCCTGTCTTAATCAGGTGACTTAAATACCCACACCTGGGTGAGTGGCGGGGCCTTCTGGGAGCTGTAGTTTGTGCCTCTGCGGCCATTTTGTGATGTGTGCTGCTGATCATTGAAGGGAATGTAGCACCCATCTACCACCTGGCCCCTTGTGATGCCACAGTACATGTGATCTGATGTGGCATTACAGGATTGCATTTGATAAATGTGGAATAAGAAAATGATCTGGAGCTGTGACTCACACTCACACTCCTCAAACTAAAAACATGTAGCGGATCAAACAAAAATACTGCAGTGAGATGTGAAGCATTTTATAGAATGGGAGCAGACAAATACATTACATGAAAGTGGTTTTGGTAGTAAATAAAGCTTGTATAAAACTTATATCTTAGACTTTTAAATCTGTCTTGGTGTCCAACTCAATACAAAGCTGTACAATGCACCGTTTGTGTGTTTGTCACAGTACTGGATGATTCTACACAGCCTCTAATTAACCTGAACTCAACCTCTCCATTTCTGTTTGCACAGACACGTCCCGCAATCCGGAGTTTATGGAGATGCACAGCGGAACCACTGACCCTCCTCTGTGCCTCATGATGGGCTACACTGACGGGATGCAGATCTGGAGCGTATCTGTAAGTCACTACTGGGCTGTAAAACTGCAAGCTCAGCCATTCTCTGCCAGGAGCTTTTGTGCCATAAGTTTTCCTTACACCAATGAAGTCAGATGTGCACTGAAGCACTCGGATCAAGATCCTGTCAGTTGGCTTACTGTAGAGCCATATTATGCCACAGCACCTTTACTAAAGCGTTGGATGACTCTTCAGAAGTCAAAACCAAAAACAAGCAATTGGGTTGAGATAGAAACTCTTTCAATGTTTAGAGTACAGACGAGCTAACCACGGCCCTGTTCCACAAAGCAGGATTAACTAACTCTGAGTTGACTAAGCCTGAGATGGGAAACTGAGCTGATCAGTCTGTTCACTCACTCTGAGTTAAGTGAATGAAAACAACCATCATCAGTCACCATGGCAACAGGTCAATAAAAGGCAGAGCTTTTTGTTGATAAATGTCAACTGTGCACATTTATTGTCATCAATCAGTTTTTCCAAACCGACAGACTGAAAGTGTTGAAAGTCACTTTTTGACTTAATGGACAGTCCTTACAATTGATTGTGTGATTGGATCACGACACCATCATGCGCTTATTGGGGTCAAAGGTCAGACTCTAGTCAAATCATTTGCTGATCCTGGTCAGGACATGTCCTCTGCCCAAGCAAGAGGCATACGACAAAACATTAAGAAATGCAGCTGTTGTGTGTGTGGTGACGGCAATCAGGCAGACCAACCTACTGACTAAAGGTTCAACTCCATAGCATTGACTAAAGGTTTCACATTCATAAACACCTTCTGTATTTTATAAAACCATTCATACTAAATGTGTTTAGTATAAATGATAACCATGTCACTAGTTTACACATAAAAGAGTTCCTGGAGATGCACTCAAATGAAATACAACATTTGAACTGAGGTTTTTCAGAGAGGCATCAGTGTGTAGTCATCTGGTTATTAGAGTGCTAATGAATGACAGTGCTCAGGGAGCTAATGTCAAGTTCTCTTTAATCAATCAAATAAAGGATATAAATAGGAAATAATAAAACCAATGAAATAGATGAACATGTATTTAATAAAAAAAGGGAAAGCATAAATAAGATAGAACAATAACAAATATAGTGGAACAATAGCAAATGAAATAGATGTGTTGTAAACGTATTATCTATATTTCGTACAGTTGAACATATCAAAATACGTTGTTGAAGCCGAGCCCTCCCACTGTTGACATTCAGCACAGTGCAGCCGTTGTCCACTAGGTGGCAGTGTTGACCATGCTATAGGCAGTATTTGGTTCAAACAGTAGCGCTGGCCTTCTACTCAGAGCTGTAACGACCATAACATGTCCTAAGATCCTGCTGAACGTCACTACTAGTTCCTGTTGGTCAGGACACAAAAGCGCAGCGTAAATACACAGAATGAACGTGAGTTGTGTTGATATATTACATCTATCATTGACAGCAGCCGATCAAAAAGTCACTGTGAGAGTTCAGCTGAATGGAAAGGACAAGAGATAGATCTGAGTTCAGCAGGTTTATCAGAAGGCTCTCTTCATTTCCTTTCCTTCTTTCGTCAGTCTTTGTAACCTGTCACCAAGAATAAGTGTGGATCAATTCAGTACTAGCAGGGGCACCAAGTGGCTACACTTCTCAACATTACATGGGAGAGCATCAACGCTATTGGTCAACTGGGTTACTGTATGTCTCTATACAACTCTATGCACATTCAGATTTACACACATACATGTATATTAATATCAGATGTGTGTATAATTCCAAACAATTACATTGAACAAAAAGTATAGACAGTTACGGCAAATTGAACTTCAATGTAACACCACAAACTACAACACTAGAAACAGTAATAATAAGAATAAGAGTATGCATTCTAATTTTGTATATACATGTATTTGTTGCAGGGCTATTGGATTGAATCACATTCCAATGTACAGATACCCTTTTTGATCTTTTTGTACTCAAGTTTTTTTATTTGTCATATGCACAACAATTACAGTGGAGCAAAAGCATGACTAAACTGTCTACAAAGAAAATCACTTCAGTAAAAAATGAGAATCCTAGACATAAGTCATAAACATTAAATAGTGCAGAAGTTAAGATATAGGAATAAAAAAAAATATATATATATATATATATACAGTATATATATAATAAAGTGCAATACTGTGATAGACTGGTGTGCAGTAGTGCTGAACTGTAATATAGACAAGATCAAATACATGTGTGTAAAATAGAGTTGACCTTTTTCCTGCACTGTTGGTATGGTGGTCCTCCATGAAGCATGATGTGCTGAGCAGTGTTCATCAGTCTCTGTAGAGCTCTTCTCTCTGTCGCCTCATGTCGTCCACCACCAGCTCTGTAGTTCTGCTGATGCTAAGATGGAGGTTGTTGTGGAACCAAGACGTCAGGGCTCTGCCTCCTCTCTGCAGGCCTCAGCACCACCGCTCAACAGGCCGATGACGGTGGTGTTGTTAGCAGACTTAATGACTTCCAGCACACTCCTGATGTAATGTGCAGTATGGCCACTGGATGAAGGCCTTTTGATAATATGATGGCACTGGTTAATATGACCTCTGTTATCTACAGGATGTTGAATCATTTATTGAAATTGAATACATATATCAGGAAGGTAAACTGCTAAACATAAGTGTTCTCTTTGCAAGCTGCATGTAGAAATACATTTCTCCGGTTTGAACATATTCACTGGGCCAAACTCTTCCCAAGCAGAATGGTCCAGATACCTCATTCAGAAAAGTCGGTCTTGGAAAATCATTAGAAGATTGTCCGCTCGGCGACTTAACAAATGACCCTCAGTGCCGCGTCGGCCTCGCTCACCGAGTATCGCCTTTCATGTACTGGCTGTCACTGAAACATGCAAACTTCACATACATCCTGTGAGATCTAAACACAGCAAAGTCCTTAATCAGTCTCTTTATAAACATCCACAGGCCACGGGTAAGAGGACACACTCTTACTTTACCCGTGAACACACACATTGGCCACATTGGCCACTGTGATGTGGTCACTCCTGAGCTCCTCTGCTGCAGCTCCTCTGCTGCAGCTCTTATGGTGGAACAGAGAACTACAGCTGTTTCAGCCCAGTACAGATGTAAGCTCGGTGAGGCTCCTCTGCCTTTCGCTTTCATTTCAACACTAATCCTGATCCACACGGCGCAGCACCGCTTCTTATCACACGCTGTCCTTCCTCATTGTTTTTCTCTCAGTTTTGAAAGTTTCTGGGATGTTTCTGGGTTGTGTTTTTTCACAGGGTTTTAAGTAAGCACTGAAGGTGCCTCGGTCTCTGGCTCTTGAGTGGTTGTGAAGTGTTTGTGACAGTCGCTAAGCCAACACCCTCTGTAATGGCCCGGCAGAGTACGAACATACACGTGTACACACGCACACACTTTCACACACTCACGAGATGGGGACTCCTGACTGGTTGTATGGATGCTGACAGAGCTGTTTAGGAGATGTAGATTACTGTCACCTCACACTGGAGAGGTGTCACCCACAGCAGCCCGATAAGAGGCAGACTGTGGTGGACGTGAGTTGCATGTGAGCAATGCATTTGTAGGGTTTTCTGTCCCCTCCCAAACAAAGTCCTTGACGGTTTCCTTCAGACATTTTAACAAAAGTTTTAAAATCCAAAGAATGTAGATCAAGGATTGTAGAACATGAATACACTTTTGTGCTTTTATTAAGCCGATGATGTTCTTTGATTCTGAGGAACTCACACAGATTAGAGGATTTACTTTAAAGTCTATTAAACTCCATTGTTGGTGCACACAACATTTTCATTTGTCAACAATGGGGAAGTTAAGGTGTCGATTAAGCTGTAAAAACGTCTGCGATATGCTCGTGGCCATTATACACCTCTGTACTTAAATGATAATAATAATAATTTTCTTAGTTCATATACACTTTTACAATTTATTCAAATGACTGAGTTGATTAATTCATTCTATTTATTTGACATAGGACTAGAACAACTTGACACACAGTGCTGAGCTGCATCTCTAATGACTCTTCAGGTTCCCAGCTATCAGCAGACAGACTCCAGTTCTATGAAGCATATACTGTTGAACTGCTGTCTCCTCCTGTCCCCCCTAAACATGACTAAAAGGCTCTCAAGAGGGGTGGAGTGAAAGAGTTTCATGTCCTTGGAAATTGAATTCCAACAATTGACCAATCCCACAACCCTTTTGAAAAGCACAGCTGAATACTTCAATATATACATGCGTGCCCTATGAATGAACAGACTGTAATAGGCAAGTTTAATTTAGTTTCCTCAACATCATAAGTAGCGCTGCATCACTCTGTGCGTGTGTACTTTTATCATTGTTATGGAAGCCCATGCACAAGCACCTGTTACTGTCCGATCTCTGAAGCACCTGCTCCCTCCAAACCTCCAATATGGCCAGCACTGTGTTAGTAAGCGGACTCACTCGTGAATATGCCCCAGATATCTGTTCACAGCTTATGGTATTACATCTGAGAGATTAAAACAGAATAGCAGACACTGTGATTCCACAAAGAAACATCCAAGCCACAGATGAAATGAATATAATGAATAACTGTGCTCAGGGAAAACAACTTTGAAAAAGCAATTTGGCATATTGCGTACGACGGGCCGCTAATGTAATGGTGGGAATGTTGTTGATGGCAGCGGATGTCACACAGAGCCATGTAAGGCGAGGATGAGCGGCGGGGTAATGCACAATAACCCGGCGCATTAACCTCCGGCCCGCCCCTCTTCTCATTTTAATCCAGCAAATTCTATTATTCCCCCTCGCAGGTCCATTTGCCTGTGCAGGAATCCTACCCTGCTGCCAACCTCCTTTTATTCCTGCTATCAGTGCTCGTATAACCTGCTCCTGTCTCCAGTGTTAATCCACCACCGCTGGGCCTCAAGCACTTTGAATAAAAACACAGCTCCAAATCCGCCACTTTGAAAAAGCTACTGATTGCACAAAAGAGCGATCATCCCCTCAGATGGGTTTAAAGACTTCAAATAACCAGATTAAAGCACTAGTAAAGTGATAATGCAGGTTTCACTGTAATTTAACGCATAAAAGAATCATAAAAGTGGGGCATGCTGCGCTCAGAACAATGTGCGATTACACACGCTAGTCACTGCCTCTCAGGCCATTGACCTAATATACTGTGGTCACATATGAACACATGAAGCTTAAACCGGACGGTTCAGACACAGCCACACATCCTTTTATTGCTTTACACCGTGGCTGTATTTCCTCTGTCTAAAGAGCAGACACGCAGTACACTTTAAAATCCTCTTTAATATGGCAACCTTTAGTGTTTTTCTCTGAAATGTAATTTCAAGCCTGGAATGCACTTGTTTGATCAGTGAAGTGGGTTGATGGACGTAAGTTTCAGCAAAAAAAACAGTTACTGCTGTTGTGTTCTTCATTCCTCTGCTTCTCTTCACGTGGGATGGTGTTTTTTACAAGACTTCAATAATTGTCTACATGCTGATAGGTGTGGATATACAGCTTCAATACTTCTGGGCACTCGTATAAATGTCAGAGTGAAGAAGAAGTGAAAATGAAATGGCATTTCAGTCTGATTATATGCTTAGAAATCTGTGTAGCATTGCACATTGAGAACTTTTTGTCTGGTTTATGTATTTTTTGATTCGATATGTTTTGATCAAAACAATTCATTTTGCTAGATGTTTTATGACGGTAAAGAGTAATGCATTTCAGACTGAGGTCATAAATACCCTCAACAAAACCTTCAACACCAAAGGACGTCTCTAGAATGCTCTAATCATCGGATTACTTTTTAAAATAGTTTATCTATTCAGTTAGCTGTGTGTGCAATTATGCTTTCTGTAATCTTTACTTGGGAGGAATGCAGAAAACTTTATTTCTATTATTTTCTGGGACTAAGAACAGTCTTATTTAAAGGTGCTAGCAGCTAATGGCTCTACAATACCAACTGTTCTGACAGAGCTGACCATGTTTACCTGACAGGGAACTAAACAGCTGTGCTGTCGGTCAGGACAGTAACATGCACTAGCTCTTCTAACAACACACACACAGGGAGAGGGACTTCATTATCTGCTCAGGTAGACTTTACTATATCTTTATATAGCATGTAGTTATTTGCTGCTATATTAATGCTCTGAGTATCATATAGTGAACCTTTAAACATTTAGTCTAAACATACTGGAACCAACTTCTACAACACCCACCATGTGCTAACCTTCTACTGTAGAATGTAAACTCCCCTGTGGTTGCTAACACCCATCCATTCCCCCTGTGTAAGCTATAAAGAGCATGGCCGCACTATAATAGACATGCCCAAATGTTCTTGACTTGTTACTTTGACAAAGAAAAGTTCATGGAGTGGTCAAAAGGCACTTTGGTAAATAGAGAAAATCACACAGAGACCTGTTGAACATGACGGGCATCACCAAACATTTAGGCTGAGAAGAGTACAGGTGGAATATTTCCACCTTGAATTAGGCCTTCCATTATTAGCATTTTATGATCATACCATCAACAACAGAAGGTAATGTTGGGAGACCGTAAACACTGTCTAGAGTGTTTCTTATGCTTGCAGTCAAACTGGGACAAAAACATATTGGGCTGCGCTCCACCGTTATCTCCAACCCTTACACGTTGTCTCTGTGACAGGAAGTGTCGGCAGCTTGTTGGCATTGCGATGCCACTGAACCTTTTCTTTTGTGCTCACAAGATTTGACTCTGTGCTTTGGCTGAAACTCCTCCCTCCCTCCCTCCCTCTGTCTCTTTCTATGAACAATCAGTGTCACACAGCTGGAATCCATAACAGTGTGAACAAATACATGTTTGTCCTTGTGCTTGTGTTGTTCTGCAGGAATCTCCATAGGCTCATATCCTTCATGGTCATGTCACACTTTATTTTGCCGAGTACAAAAAAAGGCATATTTGTCCTAAGGTGTTCTTTTTGACCAAATGAAGGTGTTTTTTCCAAACACACACTTTACATTAGACAGCAAGAGACAGGAAATGATGCCTTTTTAAAAAGTGACACCAGTGAATGACGCATATGGCCAAAGGTAGACAACATCTGTGGATTGCATAACGCCTGAATATGTGGTTTAAACTCCACTTTAACTGTTGGTCTTTAACTCTGATCATTTCTTTCAGTTGGCAGGGGAAGCCCAAGAGCTGTTCTCAGTGCGCCATGGTCCTGTGCGAGCTGCTCGCATTCTGCCAGCTCCTCATATCAGTGAGTATCTTCAGTACCTTAACCTTGCCTAAATATGAAACCACAAATTCAGTGATCAAAGCACACACTACATATTCCAGCTTTGCACCAGGCTCTGCTCAGTGTATCTGCATATTGTTTTAAATTGGTGATGTCGTCGACCTCTCTAGAGGCTCAGGTTTTTCTTTGTTATGCTATTTGAACTGGTTGAAGTAATTCTTCTTTACATCATAATAAAACCCTTGGCTGTTTTCACCTGGTCTCACCATATGAACTGCCCCCCACAATTGCTGCCTTAGCTTTACTTTTGAGCACTAAATGTATCTTTCTCAAACGCAGAAGTACCAGTATGTACTTTTAAACACATTCTCTTCAGGATAAATGTCAAAACTCTGTCCTGGACATTTTTAAAACCATTGTTTAACTTAACTTCTATTTATCCAGGATAGTGCCATAGAGATTTAAATTCTCTTTTCCGAGGGAGTCCTAGCCAACACAGCAGACTTTGGTCAACCTGATTTTGTCATTCAAGGTCGAATCTTGAAATTCCATTTTGCATGGCACATCCTACTGTGGGTATTTCAAGTGGTGCTATATCATTCAAATGAAAGAGTGCTCCATGCTGCCTCATCCTAAGTCGATCTACGACTCGTGTTCGCCTGCTCTGTCAGTGGTGGCAAGCCTCTGAAGTCGGTGCTTTCTTACTGCCAAAGCTCTGCTAGAAACCTCCCACTGAGACTTCACTGTTCACTTACCAATCTCTTTAAGATTCTTTCATATTTTGTTCAGGTAAACGTATGTTGTGGATGCTATTTTAACATTTGTTAATTGTAACCTATTCCACGTCTTTTTCGAGAATACTTTTCCCTCATACTTCATCTGGTGCTGCCTAATGTCTGTTTAGATTCCCAAAACATTAAACATCAATCAAATCTTTAGATGATCGTCTGTAAAACAGTAAGTTCTTTTTTTGTAGCTGCCATTTTGCAGCAGACTTTAACAGTTATGCAGGGAACGGTTTAGAAATACCAATTGTTCCATCAATAAACAATAATGTAATGCTGCCAGACAACATGCTGCATCAATAGTAAAGTCATCCTGGCAAAATAGGAAATCAAATGCTTTCATCATTTAAGACATGCAGAGTGGTAACTGGGGCTTAAAAGTATCTTCAAAGGTGAACTAAAACATTGTGTGTTTCTTTAACCTAAACCCCTGTTTTCATATGGCAAGTCATACAAAAAATAAAATGAATATTATAAAACAGCTTGCATTTTTAAAATGCCTTTCAAGAGACCCAAGAGCACTTCGCACATAGCTAGTTGTGATTAGTGTACATGGCTGGCACAGCTATCAATGGTAGCAAAGTAGCAGAGCTAATATAGGGGATGTTCATTTTATGGACTGACTAAATGCACACAAAAGTATCAATTGTTTAAAAGGTATGTGTTGCAATCAGAAAGGTGGAGGTGTGTTCAGACTGCGTTTGAATGACATCTCTTAGGTCTTCCTTTTACTTTTGTTGCACCTGTTTGGGTCGGGGAAATTAAATCTTTATCATTCTCACCGGTTCGTTAAGTTTGGAGACCTTGTGTAATTCCAGCATGGGTCTACCCAACTGCAACCTGAGGAGCGGTCCAGTTAGAGACAATAAGTAGAACCACCTGTGTAGGTGGACATGCATAATCACGCTCTGCCTCCTGGTCACTTAAAGCTAGGGTTGTAATGTATGTTACAAACCTTTTTGTTAGAAGTTTTGAAATTCTCTTCACATCCCGACAGCAATTATTAAATCAAAGGCTCTGACAAAGAAAGAGAAAAAAACATTGTTTTTTGGTGTAATAAGTGTAATAAGCCCCTTCTGAATGACATAATTGGACTGCCTGCCTGTCTACCTACCTACCTCTTTTATTTATTTTTTTGGCATGTACCTGTATTTACCAGGCAGTCTATCGGCAATCTAACAGCACCATCCTTTACATTTACTTTTGGTACAGCCCTGATTTCTGAGGTTGAAGGACAAACATTACCCATATGATAAATCACTGTAATTCTGTTTTATTCCCTCATGTTTTAATTTGAAACAACAGAAATTGACTTGGTTTTTGTGGCATTTGGTAATTCTCCAACTGAAGAGCATAATGTTGAAAGAGATTTTGTTCTTTACTATCACTGGTTGTAACTTGTCATCATGATTAGCTTATCATCATTGCTTCCCCATGGCACAAATTCAAATAACAGTGCAAAATGTATTGTCCCAGTTCAAAGTTTTACATCAGTTGCAGTTATTTCTTTGTAATTCAGTAAACATCCCCAAATTCTGTGAAAAATAAAAAATAAAAACAGTGTTTTCAGCCCATTTCTAAAGAAACACCAAATTCTGTGAAGCAATATAACATGTCTGCTTCCATAACGGCTTATCTTAATCTACTTTTTATTATCACATTCATTTAATTAATTATGTCACAAATAGTGAAATAGTCACAGTGATGAGAAACACACATCAGTCTTTTTCAGACACTGTACAGTTGAATGCAGTATGAATACAAGGGTTGTAATCCTCAAAGCTATTTGTAAATGGTTTGGTGGTTCAACTGATTAGATCCTCTCCAGACATGAAGTGAACATTTGATCACTGCAGGTGTCAGACAGTGCTGAGAAAGCTGCTATATAGCCTCTCTGGTTTGTTCCATGATTTTTTTTTTCGCTGAGAAAATCGCCTTTTTGTTCTCCGTCTGTGTTCCGGTCTTTTGGCAGATTTCAACAACACACAATGGCTGCATTTGAAGAGCGCTGGAAGTGGATGAAAGCAAACCACAGTAATAAGAAGCAGCAGATATCCCCAACACATGAGGGGAGCAATTCTCTCAGCAGAAAATAAATATGAATTGTACTACTGGAGGGAAGGACAGTGATTGCAATCTGCTAGGGCGCAAACAGTGTTGCACTGTGGTGAGCCATTAAAAGGCCAATTGTCTGGTTTGCGAGGCCGTGGGTGGGCGGACATAGAAAGACCCGAAAATAGGTGTTGATTATAATAAGGCAAGGTTCTCTTTTCCTAGAATAGAGACTAGTGGTTTTCCAAAGGGAGTAAATGCGTTTAACCACATCCTCTCTGGAGTTTACAACCTGTGATCATGTCATGTCTTGGAAAATGAGGCAACACTGTTTCTTTGATTGATAACAAATGAGCATTGAGGAAATGTGAATATATATATATATATATATATGATAATATGTACTGCAGGTCTTTATATTCTTTTTCAGTGTGGGTCAGTTTGTATGTCTTCACGATAGAAGTACGCTTGGGATGCTGTATTTCTATGAAGTTTAAGAACAAGCAAGTTGCTTGTAATTTTGAGCCCATGTTATAGTATTATATCAACATACAACTTTCCCTTATGCAACTTTGAAACATGCAAACATCTGTATGAAGGTCAGCAGTACTTGCTTCAATTACTCTCCATTACAGTAGTTATCAAATCAAAGTCTTTTTATTCATCAAATGTTGCATTTTCCCAGAAAGTTTATTTTAGTAAATGTGGCATTTCACTAAGTTTGCAAAAGTTATACTTATGTTACGGCTCACTTTTTGTGACTGGGAATGATGTGTGATGACAAAAAGATGAAAGAAGAAAGGACCCTGTCTGGAGTGTTAAAGGCTGGTAGCGAAGGCACATTGGCTCTCACGCCATACCACAGGAACTCAGGCTGATTACTGTCAAGCCTCAAATTACAGTCCTCTAACGGGTAACGTCTTCAATCTAAGCACCCCTACCCCCTCAGTCCCCTGATCCTCCGTCCGTCTTCAAGAATGAGACAATCATGGAAAACACGGGATCAGTCCACTTAATGCAACATGTTTTCACTTCATTTCTTTTTTTGAATATGCCTGCTGGCTTTTTACCATGCTGTAATTCCACCCCGAAAACCCCAAAACAAACAAGGGGATAAAAAATAAATCTCACTCCCTTTTGCAACATTCGGGAGATTTCTCCATCCATTTTTTTTAAATCATATTTTTCTGGACCTTTTCTGGAGAACGTTTCCTTTGAAAACCTGACATAGTGGAGGATCAGAAAAGGGAAGAACACCACCTTACATTACATGGATTCCCCTTTTGGCTGGTGAGGATAGTAACTTGCAAAATATGACCTGATTTCGGGAAGAAAACAAAATCAAAAATGTTTTGTGACCATAATTGAATTAGAGGGCAACAGTAGTAATGTAATCTGCATGTTTCCTATCATGGTAATAGGCTGCCTGTTGAATGAGGGTGGGCACCACGAGAGGCCTCACATGTCCATTGAAAGAATGTCCCTCTTTGTTGTGTGCAGATTATTCTGTTTCTCATCCCTCTTTCTATGACTCCTCCTCCTCCGCAGGTCCTCTGAAGACGGACACTTTTTCTGACAAGAGGCCTCTGTTGGGGGTGTGCAAGAGCACAGGGTCTTCTGGGTGAGTTCATGCATCATAATAAAGCTGATATCACCTTTACCAACAGGATCTTATATGTTTTTACTGATACACCAATATTACAGCAATTGCAGTCAGATTGCAGGCAGATTAGCACACAATCAGACAGATATGAGTTTCTACTCCTGCAATTATATTGGGCTGGAATGGACCTCTTGAATAGTTTAAGGCCACTACTATGCTTCTTTATTGTAATTTTGGCCAAGTTAAGTTAATTTTGGCCCAATAAAAACACCAGGATTTTCCCAATATATGTAGCAATGAGGATAATAATGCCTTGGGTTATATGACTTATCTCTTGCATATGATTTAAAAAACCTAAAAGGACTTGAATGAAACCATGAGGGACACCGTAGGTAATGTGTGTTGAATAATGTGAGTTTCCAGTTGTGACAGAAAGTGTCATTTTCAGTTAAGTGCCTATAAGAGCAGCTAAAAACAGTGGCTGGTTAGGCCAAAATCAAGTCTTCCCCCAGCACAAAATAGCTGACAAGAAGGCTGTGTTACACTAACTAATCAAGTGGTAAACAATGGTTTGAGTATGTAGTGGAGGAAGGCGTTGATTGACTTTACTTCATAGTCTGTCCTTGCTAAGCTCTTGCAGAAGGTAGGGATGTTCCCATCAAGTTTTTTTTTTTTTGTTGCCATGATCCCGCTCTTAGTACGGAAATATTTGGGATCTGCTGATACAGAGTCCGATCCACTACTTATACTAACCTAAATGTTGATTAAGTGTGTGCGACAACATTGGAAAGCTTGAAATGTAGTATGCTCTATCTCCATCCATCCATTATCCAAACTGCTTATCCTGTTCAGGGTCGCGGGGTGCTGGAGCCGATCCCAGCTGACAATGGGCGAAGGCAGGGTACACCCTGGACAGTATGCTATACTGTATCTGACCCACCTTATTCTTCACAAGCATCTCGATCCAAATACTTAATGTCCTGGTTCATTACATTACATTTATATGGCTGATGCTTTTTTCCAAAGCAACATACAAAAAGTGCATTCAAACATGTGAGTACAACCCCAAAAACCACACGAGTCATGCATGTAATCTTCATCAAACATGCTGAACTAAATCAGGTACTAGATTTAGAGACATCAAGGTGCAGTGTGAACTAGGGCTGAACAATGTACCGATATTATATCGATACATTGTCAGTATTGGGCGGCTTAAAGATTGACTGTTCAATCCCCAGCTCCTCCAGTCTGCATGCCGAAGTGTCGTAAGCAAGATATTCAACCCTAAATTGCTCCCGAGGGCTTTTCTATCGGTGTGTGAGTCTGTTTGAATGAGCAATTAGATCAGATCCTGATGGTCAAGTTGGCACCTTGCATGGTAGCTCCTGCCATCAGTATGTGAATGACATGTAGTGTACAGCGCTTTGAGTGGTCGAAAGACTAGAAAGGTGCTATATAAATCCATATGAGAATAGATATCATCTTAGATTTTGGATATTGTAATATCGCATAAGTGTATTTTCCTGGTTTTAAAGGCTGCATCGTGTGATGTAATTTTCTGAACATACCAGACTGTTCTAGCTGTTCTATTCTTTCTATTATTTCATTATAGTTATATCATTACATCCACATTATTGATGATTATTTATCAAAAATCTCATTGTGGAAATATTTTTTGAAAACACCAATAGTCAACAATATCGTTGCAATATCAATATTGAGGTATTTGATCAAAAATATTGTGATATTTGATTTTCTCCACATTGCCCAGCCTTGGTCTGAACATATGAGTTGTCAGTCTGCAAAAGAAGCTGCGTGAAGTTTCTGCTGACCTCATGGGAGGCTCGTTCCACCGTTGTGGAGCCAAGACAGCAAGCAGTCGTGACTTCATTGAGCGGTAGCCGGGCCTCCTTCTCTTTCTTCTGAAATGGATGATATGTGATCAGCTAGAGAGAAGACGTATCACTCGTTTGGAGTTGCTGGAACTACAGAAGTACTCTGTTTTTTTCCCCCCTCACAAAAATGTTTTTTGCTGAGAACAGCAAAGTTTCATTTTGGACTGCCATCACGTTACTCACAGATTAATGTTAATTAACGCAGCTGATATGACCTGCTGCTAGTGACATTTGTGAAACAGTGAGAGCTATGAGAAAAACAAGAAGGTCTTTTTGGACAATGCTCTTCACTAGTAATAAGAGAGATAACAGATTTGCTATCGTTGAAACGTTGCACACTCTTGATTTGAATATGCAGTGAAATGTGCACTCTGTAGAGCCCAGTTCTTGTAAAGGAGAGCAGTGCTTCAACACAAGCAGGTAGAGGAGAGAACACACATTACAGTGTAGAAAGGATCGGAATGTGATCAGATTTATTTGAGCTAATATCCACCTTTTAAGATATGCCAAGATATCAATCTTTAGGCTTGGGAATACTTCAGTTATGGCTGACATTGCTGCTATTTCCAAAGCTTAAAAAGCTTAAAGCTGTTATTTTTTGGGAACCAACGGCATTGTCATGTTGTCACTTCATAAAGTATGGTGAAGTGTCCTATTTACACATCTGGCAGACATAGAGCAGCACAAGCTTTTATTTACAGTCATGTTTGTGTCCACTTGAAAAATGGAAGTCCAATAATCTCTCTACATTTAAACTATTTCCATTTCCACCAACCCTTGGGAAAAATATCTGCCATTTTAGCTGCTAAATACCACATTTCCTGCATCGGGTCATGTGTGAATGGGAGCAGGAATCGATATTCATACCTCAAAACCTAGGGTGTGTATCAATACCCATACTACTACACTATTTAGTATTCTAAAAAAAGTATTTCATATTTCCCAATACAAAGTATGTCAAAAGCAGTATGCCAGAAATACCAGGATGTCCTACTACATGCCGTCACATTTTGCAGCCCTTCTGGCTATTCTCACCCACAGTCCTCTTCACAGAGGATATATGAGCAACAGGGTCAAAGTTCAGTGTTATGACAAAGTAGTATGTCCCAATTGAACGCATGCTGCATGCAACAGTACGTACTTTCTAAGGTTAGCTGCAGTACGTACTGAAAGTAAAAAGAAAACATATGCGACATGGAACGCAGCCCAAGTAACATTTCAGGGAAAATGCCTGGAAATGAATGAAAGCAGTAACGTTGCACGTAAAGGGTTACGACCTTCTGACAAAAGATGCTTTCATGTAGAGCAAACAAACCAATTACATGACTCCACTCATGACGTATTTATATCTGCTTTAGTATTTACAGCGATGCTTTACCGAGTGATTTGACTTTTCTGGTAAACTTAAATATGAGATACATTACAAGAATACTGGCACCAGACAATGACAGCTCCTCGCCCACCTGATGTTCCTGAAAATAATGAGACGTCTTCTCTCCCGTACGCTGCTTCTTCTGAGTTTCATGGCGGTTGACATCCATAAGTGTAGCAATACTGCCGTCTGCTTGACTGTTCCTTGTCACATCTATTCTAGCATTGCCGTAACTTACGTGAAAAGGCGCAAGACAAAAATTGTCCTAAATGTACTGCATGTGGAAATAGTGGAAATCACTAGCGGTGCCTGGAAGGTTATCAGTAATTTACCGGTAACTATGTGTGAAAAAGGCTTAACACTGCACCAAAATAGTTTAGGCTAGGCTGTAAAGTTACAAAAACCCTGAAGAGCTGAGGGGGAACTTCAGAGTCCACACTTCAGAGTTGGACAGTTTTTTTTCACATTGCATATAATCAATCTAAAAATATAGATTTGTGCAGCTTTAACTAGATGTAGTTCTTTTGATACATTTATGTTAAATGTTTAAAATATTCCAAGGCCAAGATTTAATATTTTTACAACTAAAGACAACAATACCTTTTTGAAGGGAGTATTGTCACATTTCTGTATAATCAGGTCCAGCACACAATCACTAAGTACAACCCCAGTAATACATATATAGTTGAATAAACACCTCTTTGGCAAAATACATCTTCCTGAATGTAGAATTTGTGGCAGATCAGTTCTATTGGATTGCATTCAATTGTATGAGTGACCTAATAAAGTGACACGGATTAGTTTCAGAGGAGCTATCCTGCAGAGTTCACAGACTGCTCGGAGACCAGAAGCAAAGAAACTAAAGCGAACTCAGTGTGCTATTGGAATGACCCATCATCGTGATGTTTTGTCTTTAAACTGCTGAAGGGAGGGGGAAGTGTTTTACTCTTTGCAATGTTACACAAGTACAAATCCTACATCTGAAAGTAATTTTCTGTTAATAATAAGAGGCATCAAAGGACACCCAGCTTCTTGTTATGAACCCTTCACATGCACACAACTGGAGCTGAGCCAGTGATGTGGGCTTGGTGACTGTGATTCATGGCTTTCTAGTGGCGCTATGGTTTGCATGCGAGCAGTACCTGGACACCCAATAGGCAGACAGGAAGGAGATTAAACAGATGTGTCGGTCCCCCGGATTCTCAGGGCTGGGACTGGGCACGTCATGTCTTTGTTAAGTGAAAGAAAGTGAATTTAAAAAGTGACAGACCAGAAGGCATCTTGTACTCTCCTCTCCATACCCAGTCCGTGAACTCCTCTTCGCCCCTCCCCCATTTACTTATGCTCCTCTTCCAGAGCAACACAAAATATAACTCAATATATCCTCCTTGGGAAATGAAATAAGGAAGTCTGTCTTCAACCGGGCCTCGATGGAGACCAACCTCTTGATGTTTTCCAGGGACTGCCGCTCCTGTCTCTCTGACGCCGTTGCTGCTGCCGTTGCTTCTGCTTTTCCTATGTCCTCACTGACACTGAGAGGGCAGCGCTTTGACGGTTTGGCAAATCATCCAGGCGTCGCTCGACACTAATGCTAAAAACATGCACTGTGTTGAAAAGCAGAAACCCTGACCTCTGGCTGAATGGCACAGCCTGGTTCTTCCCCCTACAGAAGTGCTTGGTAAATAACACTTTGGTCAAAGACGAGAAGGAAAAAGGCTTCCGGGTGCGGCGCAGTACTTTCCATTGGGCCTGTTCATAAACTTACTAAGGTCCTCACACAATTTTTAGCATATAATCATTTTGAAATAACAGCTTTTGTTAACCACCAAAAAGGATGCCGTCTTGACACTTAAATGAAAAACAGATTGAGGCCTTGGCCGCTACAGCGGTGCTGGTTTAGAAGTTGGTTCAGTCAGCTCTAGGCTTAGATTACAAGATTTGCAAATTAAAGGAAAACCAGAGAAGGGAAAAAGCATGTGTGCTGAAGCCCTGTACTTGTGGATTTCCAGTCAGGCACACTCAACATAATTTTATCAATGGAAAGGATTATGCGTTAAGTCCAAACAATGTATGGATCCAGTGATTTTCTTGACAGTAAAGCTACATTAAAGCTGCACATGCGTCCCTTTCAGTCTTTGCACTAGTGCCAGTAGGCTTTCGGAATTAGTAAAGAATGCTGGTGCCATTGCAGACCTTGGTATGTCTGCTCACATTTCTGGAAAGGATTTGTGTTTCCTTTCCCGACTTGCTGTTGTTATTATTTTCATTCATTTTAATTGCATCCACAGGTATTACAATTCTGGGAGACTTAAGGCAGCTTTCTCTCAATGAATGTAAATTGTATGGCCAAGAGAGAGGAAACTTAACTGTTTGTGGGTGTGTGAGAGCACACACGTTTTGGGCAAAAGTTCACTGATGAATAACCGCGCTTTGTTCTCCAGATTTTGGGAACTGTCAGTGACATTTTCAACCTACCAGCTACTCCCTCACAACATCTCCAGATGCTGAGAGGATGTGGTCCTTTTTTCTTTTCACCAAGGCAAGGCAAGGCAAATTTATTTGTATAGCACATTTCAACAACAAGGTAATTCAAAGTGCTTCACATAAAACCATTAAAAGGCAAAAGAAAAGGAGATTTAAAAACAATTAAGAACATTCATTGAAACATTAAAAACAGTCATTAAAACATTAAAAAACAGTGTAAGAAATAAAATACAGTAGTAAAATGCAGAAATGCAGGAAATTGATTAATTTATTAATTGAATCTGGTTCAATTAAAGGCAGCATCAAACAGAAAAGTCTTCAATCTTGATTTAAAGGAGCTGACGGTCTCAGCAGACCTGCAGCTTTCTGGGACTTTGTTCCAGATATGTGGAGTAGAAGAACTGAACGCTGCTTCTCCATGTTTAGTTCTGACTCTGAGAACAGAAAGTAGACCGGTCCCAGACGACCTAAGGGGTCGGGATGGTTCATAAGGTAGCAGCAGATCAGAGATGTATTTTGGCCCTAAACCATTCAGTGCTTTATAAACCAACAGCCGGATTTTAAAGTTAATTCTTTGTTTGACAGGAAGCCAGTGCAAAGACCTCAGAACTGGAGTGATGTGATCCACCCTCCTGGTCTTAGTGAGGACTCGAGCTGCAGCGTTCTGAATCAGCTGCAGCTTTCTGACTTTTTACAGAGACCTGTAAACACACCGTTACAGTAGTCCAGTCTACTGAAGATAAATGCGTGGACATGTTTTTCCAAATCCTGTTGAGACATAAGTCCTCTAATCCTTGATATATTCTTCAGGTGATAGGAGGCTGATTTTGTAATTGTCTTGATATGGCTGTTCAGGTTGAGGTCTGAATCCATAACTACACCTAGATTTCTGGCTTGGTTTGTGGGTTTTAACATCAGTGATTGAAGCTGAGCGCTGACTTTCAATCGTTCGTCCTTGGTACCAAAAATAATTACTTCTGTTTTGTCTTTGTTTAATTGAAGATAATTCTGGCACATCCAGTTGTTGATTTGTTCAATGCAGTTACCCAGCCTTTTATGGGATTATAGTCCCCTGGTGACATAGTTATGTAGATTTGTGTGGCGTCTGCATAATTATGATAACACACTTTGTTGTTTTCCATAATCTGAGCTAGTGGAAGCATGTAGATGTTGAACAGAAGAGGCCCCAGTATTGAACCTTGGGGAACACCACATGTCATTTTAGTCAGCTCTGATGTGTAATTAGCTACAGACACAAAGTATTCTCGGTCCTTCAAGTAGGATTCAAACCAGTTAAGTGCTGTGCCAGAAAGTCCCACCCAGATTTTTAGTCTTTCTAGGAGTATGGCATGGTCGACCGTGTCGAATGCAGCACTGAGATCCAGTAATACTAAGACTGAACTTCTGCCATTGTCTGTGTTTAAGTGGATGTCGTTGAAAACCTTAACAAGAGCAGTTTCAGTACTGTGGTGCTGTCAAAAGCCTGACTGGAAAACATCAAAGCAGTTATTTACGGCCAAGAAGTTGTTCAGCTGTTGGAAAACTGCTTTTTCAATTATTTTACTTAAAAATGGGAGGTTTGATATTGGCCGATAATTTTTCATTGTTGCTGAGTCTAAATTAGCCTTCTTTAGGAGCGGTTTAATAATTGCAGTTTGTAGGGCTTGTGGGAAGACACCTGAGAGAAGGGATGTGTTTAGAATTTGTAAAAGATCAGTGGTCATGCAGTTTGAAATATTTTTGAAAAAGTGTGTTGGTAAAATATCCAAGCAGCAGGAGGATGACTTCAGATGTTGTATAGTGTCTTCCAGGCTTCTACGGTCGATTGAATGAAATTGTGTCATGACATTTGAATGGATGTTATTCAGAGAAGGGGACAACACATGTCCTGTGGTTGGTTTGGAGGCACTGACTGCTTGTCTAATTTTCTGAATTTTGTCAGTAAAAAAGGAGGCAAATTAATTGCATGCCCAGGTGGATTGCAGCTCAGCAGCTACCGACACTGGAGGGTTTGTTAGCCTGTCGACGGTAGCAAATAAGGCGCGTGTATTGTTATTGGTTTTGGTTATGATGTCAGAGAAGAAGGACTGCCTTGCATTTCTAAGTTCCAAATTATAATTGCGAAGTCTCTCTTTATAGATGTCACAGTGAACCTGGAGATTAGATTTCGCCACCTGCGCTCAGCTTTCCGACACTCTCGTTTCTCTATTTTGACCAGCGTAGCATTTCTCCAAGGAGATCTTTGCTTACCCGAGACAACCTTCACTTTAGTGGGTGCAATGGCATCAATAATATTTTTAACTTTAAAATTGAAGCCATCTACAAGCTCATTGACTGAGATGCAAGAGAGGGCTGGTGTGGAGGAGAACTTCTGAATAAATAGTTCACTGGTGTTTTCAGAGATGTAACGCTTCGTCACAACCTCGGTTTGGACATTTGTGTGCCAGGAGATTGCACTCTCAAAGAAAACAGAAATGATCAGAGAGTGCAACATCAGTCACAGCGACCTTGGAAATGTTTACACCTTTGGTGATGATTAGGCCCAGAGTGTGCCCCCTGTTGTGTGTGGATCCTGTCACATGCTGAGTCAGATCATAGTTATCAAGGACACCACATAGTTCTATAGACCCTCTGTCCTGGGGATTATCAACATGGATATTAAAATCGCCAACAATAACAACACAGTCAAAATCAATACAGATTATAGACAGCAGTTCAGTAAACTCATCAAAGAAGGTTGCACAGTATTTAGGCAGTCTGTAAATGTTTAGGAATAAAGCTTGAGTGGAATTCAGAGCCACATATTCAAAAGAACTAAAATGACCAAAGGACATCTGCTTGCATTGAAGAGAATCATTAAATAAAATAGAAACTCCACCTCCTTTCTTATGCGCTCTTGTTTCACTCATGAAACTGAAGTTGTGAGGTGTTGATTCAATAAGAACAGCTGCACTGTTATCTTGATTTAACCATGTTTCAGTTAAAAACAAAATGTCCAGTTTGTGCCTAACAATAAAATCATTGATTAAAAATGTTTTTCCTGACAGAGACCTGACATTTAATAAAGCTAAGTTTAATGTGGTTAAAGCTTTCTTTGCCCAATTTATTTGGACAGGCTGACGAGGAATGTATGTTAAGTTTGCAGGTTTACTATTGTTTCTTCGCAGCCTCACCTTTCTTTTTCGATGAACTATCAGGACAGGAATTGAGAAGGCTAGCTGCATACAGGGCCCCGACTTTTCCTGGAGAGAGTCATTGGTGTCATTAGCCTTGTAGCCTGGACCCAGAAGATATCAATCATAGCATCCAAGATAGTGGATCACATCACTCCAGCTCCGAGTCCTCCGCACCGGCCTGCCCTGCCTTGCCCTGCCTTTATCAGGTAGGGGAGACAAAGGATGGTTGTGGAGCCGAGGTGGAGGTGGGGGAAGGGCAAGGTGCTTTAACTTCGCCGATTGTGTCAAAACTGGCTGAGGACTAGGAGCCAGTTTCGGGGGTGGGGCTGGAGCTGTACGTCGAGGAGTGGGGCGAGGAGTGTGTTTGGTTCCAGCAATGACCAGCTCTTTCATGTGGTCAGCAATAGTCTTTCACCGTGCAGATTACTGCTGGATGTGCTATTTCTGGGTTTTTGCTAATACAGATTGATATTCTGAGCAGATACCATGGTCATGTTTTTTTGTACGGTGCTCCATGTCATGAAAGTCACCACCACCATCCCCGTCTCATACTTTCATTCTTAAAGGGTTTCCATCTGCAATTCCCAAAGGCTTGTTGTGCATTTTAAAGTTTCCTTCCATTTTGTAACTTTTCTTTTAACATATTTATGATGTTCATGATCTTTGAAACTGTGGATTCAATAGCATTTAAAGTGTATATCCTGGGGAACTATGAAGTCTGTGTTGTGGATTTGGCAACACTTGTGGTCATGACTGGTCCTGTCAAGTGCATTTTGATTTCCACAGATCCCATTGTTGTTATAATTGGAACAAAGATGTAAATTCCACAGTGGCAGCGATGTGCCAGTGTCTTGCCACAGCCATAAACAAGCGTGGCATTGTTAGACCGGAAGTATTTTAATCAGAAGATAATCCACCTTGTCTGTTTTTTCTGCAAATACTTGGTGTTCCAAGATTTATAATATCTCAGATTAATGTTTGAATGAAATGATCCATCTCTAAAATACTTTTTTTTTCAGTTGTAGATATAATTTGAAAGAATACTTAAATTATTTATTGATCATGGGGCGACTGTGTTTCAGTGGAGCGGGGTCGTCCTTCAATCAGAGGATCGGCTGTTCGATCCCCGGCTCCGCTAGTCCATGTAGATGTGTCCTTGGGCAAGACATTTAATCCCAATTTGCTCCCATAGGCTGTGCCTGTGGAATGTGTATGAATAGTAGATAGTCCTGATGGGCAGGTGGCACCTTGCATGGTGTGTGAATGGGTGTGAATGGGTGAAGGACATGTAATGTTAAGGCGCTTTGAGTGGTCGGAAGACTAGAAAAGCACTATACAAGTACAGTCCATTTACCAAGTCCAAGGGCTTTGCTTTCATGATATTCTTGGACATAGTCAAATTTCCTTCCGTACCCAGATGTGGTGCTGCAGAAGCTCAACTGACTGACTTCAGCCGACATCGAGCGCACCTGCCCCTGTCCTACATCACGGCCGAGGTATGTCACTGTTGCGCTGGCAAACCTAGCCAGATTGACAGTGAGTGATGTGTGTACCACGTTTTGCTGACAAATACTACATCATCCTGTTAGACTGCACAACTTTCCAGAACTGACACAACCGTATTTATGTCACAGCCCAGCTCAAAAGCTGCAACAAAGATGGGAAACCAGAGGAGCGGGCTGCGAAGAAAAGTAATGTATTTGGAACTAAACGTAAAACAACGCAAACCAATATAACGTGTAGTCAGTCAAGGAGTGCATGTATGGGTGTGTGGCAGTGTATATGTATAACTGAACAAAAAAAAACACGAGCCATCAACATGCCTGCCGGCAATCTCCCAGATCTGCCAGGAGGTGTTTGTAGGGCAGAGCACACCAGGCCAAGGTGTAGCTCTCATGCCGCTTACAGATGCAGCCACCTAGTAGTCC